AGTTGTCTAAATTACATGTGATTTTGATACTGGGATTGCTTCCGCTGCATATAATAATCCATATCTTTGAATATCTATATACTTATAATTTACCTCAAATTCAGTCACTGTTGGAAGAAGGGCTTCCCTCGTCTCTTTCTGAGCTTAGCTTAAATAACTATGATGAGCTCCATTCACTACCGACCGAAGGTCTTCTACGCCTCACCTCGCTTCAACGTCTAGAGATCACCTCCTGCGATCAACTCAAATCTATTCCAGAATCAGCGCTGCCCTCCTCCCTCCCTGAGCTGATCATCTCGCGTTGCCGTAATCTCCAATCTCTTCAAGTGAAAAGAAAGCCTTCCTTCCTCTCTCTGCTGCCTATCTGTGGTTGCGGTAATAATCTCCAACCTCTTCCAGAATCAGCGCTGCCCTCTCTCCTCTCTAAGCTAGTCATCCAGTCTTGCCCTAAACTCAAATCTCTTCCGGTAAAAGGGATGCCCTCTTCTATCTCTAAACTATATATTTCTGGGTGCCCATTGCTCAAACCACTCCTAGAGTCTGAGAAGGGGGATTACTGGCCAAATATTGCCCATATTCCCACCATATGTATCGATCACGAATACATGTGATGATTAAAACGAAGGTGCTCTAACAAATGTAAGTTATTCTTTTTCTTTTTTTCTTTTCAAGTAGCTTTTTATTTTTTGTTACTTCTCTTTGCTTTTCTGTTAATTATTTTCCTTTGTTAAAAATCTTGTTGAGCAGTGTGAAGAGGTTATTGCCACTATGAAACAGAGGAAGCATCTTCAGATTGGGATGAATTGAATGTTAGATGACAAAAAGAAAAGGTGATAAATCCTTATATTTGCACTTAAACATTGTAAAAAAAAGATTTGGTATTGGTAGGAATTCACATATTTGCTCCAGAAAGTTGATAGCTTAATGTAATATTAATGAACTAGTAATCTATTACAACACACATGTATGTCAGCCATATGTTTATTGTCTTTGGAAATTTATCTCATCAATTGCAATTCATGTATTATTGTCATATATCTCGCTCTTCATCTTGTAGATTCTTAGTTCATGTATTGCTTGAACTTTCATCTCAATAAAAATTCATGTATTCTTGTTCTTTCCCCTTTTCAGTGAGTTGAGCGAGGAGGAGGTGGTTTAGAGTAATGCACATGTCCACTAATGAATGCGAAGCTCTAATAGAATTCAAAGATATACGCGACACAAAGTTTGTCTCCTATATATAAAAATAGAAAAGTTTGCTTCCCAATATGATTATCGGATATCAGCTTGGGTAACAATATGCAAGCTATTACCGCTCTTAGCTCCATTAGTGAATGGAAAGTTGTGCTGACATTCTCTATCGAATGGACAGTTACCTTGAATGTGGTCTGTCAGCAAAGTGTAAGTGAAGAAAAGTAATACTCTTTTGTGTGGAATTTTACACTCTTTGATAACTCTTAGAAAATATTGTGCAAAATTTTGTACAGCATTTTTTTCCAATACATCAGTTAAAAGAACTAGTCATTTTCTGTTGTCGATTAAATCATCCAGTGCTATCAACTATCAAATTAAAACTGATATTTTCCCAAATTAAAATAGGTTATTTTGTTATAGCTTAGGAGACACTAGCTCAGTGTGTTATACAGTTCAGCCTTGATTTACTCTGAGTATAGTTTTGCTGCATTCAGGGAGTTATTTTTTATAACTCTTTATGTCCCAAATTTAGAGAATGAAGTTTTATCGCTGCTGAAAGAACGGCTTCCCTCGTCTCTTTCTCAACTCCATATGCAATGTTTATACAAAAGTTTCTTTGGTTATGGATTTGATTTATGCATGATTTCCCCTTTTTATGCAGATTCAAAAGCGTGCGGAATTGGGGGAAGTGAATGTTCTCATACAATGGGTGTTCTTCGTGTGAGTTTAGGTTGCATTGTATCCTTTTGCTTAAAAGTGACAATGCCTTCTCTCCTTTAATTAAACTCATAACTCTGTAGGCAGAATGTGGCCTTATTGTATATCTTTAATTTGATTTAAAACAATTTTCAGAAAGTCTTTTAATACTTATATATGATTTAATGGTAAAGAAGTTCCAGCAAGAAGGATGTGAAAATTTGAAACTTTTCCTTCTGTTCTTTAATGGTACTTTTTAGTTCGGCAGAATTCTTTTGTTCTTGCATCCTTGACGTACATTCTAGAATTTTTTTGGTGATTCCTTTTTTATCCCCTCAGATTATATCCAGTTATATGTTAAGTCTCTTGAAGATAAATGCAATAAGAAAATCCCAAAGTGAATCTTTCAGTTTTTCGATCACAGCATTTCATGAAATTTTTTCCATTAAATGCTACTTTCATCTTATTTCTCTCTATACAATGTCTGATTATATTTATTCACTCATAGAAGTAAATATAAATCTCTCCCTTTTCTTCAGGTGAATTCGCTCGAGTTGGTGCAGGGTAATATTCACATCCATCGTTTTTACTTCTCGTCTAACATAGATAGTCAATAAAAAGATTATTGAGTAAAATCATCAGTAGAATGGTATATAGCAAATTAAGAACAACTTTTCCTTTTTCAGCTCTATTTTGAGAATGATTTGGCAACGACACAATGTCATTTCACCATAGAAGGTTCTTTTAGTCTATTACTTTCCTCTTCTGAGATGTTGTCGATAATTCTCCGAGTATCTAATCCCTTCCGGTCCACTTCTCAAAGGGGATATACTGGCTAGAAATGGCTCAAATGGTGCTGTGATAAATGTAAGTTGTTCTCTCCATCAGTAGTCATTTTTCAAGTTTTTACTACTTAGCTTTGCTTGCGTGTTAATTCCTTTTATTCATTATATCTTGTTGAGCAGTGTGTAGCGTCTATTTGCTCTGTGAAGCCGAGGAAGCTTCTTTGCTCGAAATGAAATTTAAGGTTAGCTGTCAAAAGAGTTCCTTATATGTTGCAACTACAGAAATCTTTATACATTATGACAAAAACTTATTATAATTGCAATTCATGTATTCTTCTGAAAAATATCTCACTCTTCATCTTACTTGTAGATTTTTAGTTCATGTATTGCTTGAACTTTCATCTCTATAGCAGTTCATGTATTGTTGTTCTTTCCCCTTTTCAGTGAGTTGAGCAAGGAGGATATGGATAGAGTAATGCATCTTCAGTGACAAAAAAAGGTATGTCATCTACAGAAATTTTATTCATTGTAAGAAAAGAAAAGACGTAGTATAGGCTGGAATTAATAATTTTATCTAGGAAGTTCAAAACAAAATATAATTTTAACAAACTAGAAACCTTTTTACCATTAACATATGTAGATATGTCAGCCGAATGTGCATAGTCTTTTGAAATATGAGTGATCTTACTTGAAAAATCTATTACAGCTCGTAGCTCAGTTGGTAAAAGGGATGTCGTGCTCGCATTCTCAGGAAATATTGTGGAAGATTTTCAGTAGGTACATTTTTGCCTTATCCCTGGGACACAAGGAGTGTTGCCTTCTCCATCACTTAAGTATGCATCGTGTTGTTAATTTCCTGGGGTTGCAACCAGGCTCCATTATGAAGTCTTTGTCCGTTTGTTGGTTAATCCGGATATAGGTCGGGGGTACTTATGCATTTTTCCATTGATGAAAACTATTTCCCTGCAAAATATTTTTCTCATTGAAAATAATTGTTTAAGTAATAACAGCAGTCGTACCAAACACGCTCTTGTGGATCTAGCCGGGTGGCTTTCACTTCATCGATAGGGGAGGCGTACATGTGGACCCATGGCTTTCACTTCATCGATAGGGGAGGCGTACATGTGAACCCAAACAGGACCATAATAATGTTGTGGATATAATTTGCTGGATTTTTCTTGAATTTGAAAAATATTACTCCCTCCGTTCCTTTTTAGTCTATTTCAAAAAGAATGATCTCTTTCTAAGTTTGGAAAAGTATTTTAACTTAAACTTTCAACTTTTCTCTTAATGAGAAGCTTTTATATGCTTGTTTCTTTAGGCTGTCCAATGTTTACTATACATTGCAAATAACCAGTAATTAAAGACACATTTCAAAATGTTTGAATGTTTAATTTTCTAAGTTATCATATCTACAAATTATAACGACCCGACTTGTCGTTTTAAAAATCAATGCCCCGTTCAACGAATTAAGGTCCCGAGCAACTTCGTAATATGTATTATGACTTGCATGTGCGGTCGAATTTGATTTTCGGAAGATTCGGAATTAAATTGAAAGAACAATTCTCATTTTTGAAGCTTAAATTAAAAGAGTTGACCGGAGTTTGACTTTTGAGCAAATGGCTCCAGAATGGAGTTTTGATGTTGTCAATAGCTTCGTATGGTGATTTCGGACTTTGGTGTATGTCCGGATTTGGATTTGGAAATCCGTAGGACAATTCGACGCATTTTGGCGAAAGTTGGAAAATAGAAGATTTTTTGGAAAGCTCGACCGAAGGTCGAATTGTTGATAATGAGGTCGGATTTCGATTCCGGAAAATGGACCAGCTCCATTATGTCATTTATGACTTATATGCAAAATTTGAAGTTATTCCGTATTAATTTGATACGTTTCGACACAAAATATAGAAGTTGGAAGATTTAAAAACTCATAATTCGATTCAAGGTGCGACTTATAATTTCAGCATTGTTTGACGTGGTTTGAAGCCTCGACTAAGTTCGTATTATCTTTTGGGACATGTTAGTATATTTGGTTAAGGTTCCGATGACCTCGGGTGTATTTCGGGTGGTTAACGGATCAATTTGGACTTGAAGAAAGCTGCTGGAATTTCTGCTGTTTCTGGATTGCTGGTGCATCGCTTCTGCGATGTCCAGGTCGTAGAAGCAACCTCGTAGAAGCGAGAAAATCATCGCAGAAGAGACCTGGGCAGAGCTGGAGGGAGGTCGCAGGTGCGGACAGTCTTGCGCATCTGCGCAATCGCAGGTGCGATGTCTTGAAGCGCAGAAGCGGATTGAGGCAGAAGCTGGGCATGATTTTCGCAGAAGCGGTCCGTCGTCGCATAAGCGTTATCGCAGATGCGGTGCTTCTGTCCGCAGGTGCGAAAATTGGACAGCCAGTGAGGATCACAAATGCGAGGTTTGTCTCGCAAAAGCGAGCTCGCAGAAGTGCAAGAATCTGCCCGCAGAAGTGAACTGGACAGAAACATTTAAGGACCAAAAATCAGTCATTTTGCCATTTTCAATTGTGATTTTGGAGCTTGGTTTTGGGGCGATTTTGGAGGAATTCTTCACGACTTTGACTTGGTTAAGTGTCTTATATCCAAAAGTGATTATATTTCATAAATCCATGGTTATATTCATCACCTATTTCAGATTTAAATGGAAGAAATCAAGAATTTTGCAAAACTTTTCAAGAACAAAAAATTAAGATTTGGAGGTCGAGGTCTTATCGGAATTTGATAAAATTGGTATGGTTGAACTCGTATCGGAATAAGTGTCCGGATTTCGTGAAAATTATGTTGGACTCCAAGAGGTGGGCCCCGTGTTGACTTTTGGTTGACTTTTAATGTAAAATTTTAAGTCGACATTGTATTATCCGGAATTATTTTCGATGAATTTTAATGAAGTTATACAATTAATTTGGATAGATTTGAGCTGTCCGGAGGTCAATTCAAGCAAGAAAGCTATTTTGGAATACCGGCCTAACTTCAAAAAGGTAAGCATCTTGCTTAACCTTGTGTGGGGGAATTTTCCCTTAGGCATTGATTCTTATGTTGAAATTGTGTGATTGGAAACAATGTACGCGAGGTGACCAGTACGTACACGGTTTATGTGTGCGAATTATATCGGTTAAAATTCGTAGAAACCCGTATGTATTAAATTGGAAATGGTTGGCACTTAGTAAATCCTTGATTTATCATGCCTCATTCTTTGTTTGTCGAGTTTGTATTTATATAATAATTTGGTGTGAATGCCAATTTGATTTTTATGAGAATTCCGTGTGTTTGTTGATTTGATATTTTCTGGAAATAATTATATGATGGATTTCTTCCATCTGCAAATAGTTAATTAAATAAGTTTAAATTGAGGCATTAATATATTTATCTAAAATTTGGGTTAAAGAAGGCGTTGTCCTCTGCTAAGTTATTTTTCTATCCTTGTTGTTGTTATTATTGAGGTTTTATATACGTTATTTTTTGCATTTATGTCTATGGTTTCTTGACTAAGCCTGGGGTGGTGGATGTTAAACTTAACATCTACAAAATGAGAATTATCATCTCTAAAATTGTTTTGTGGCGAATTAAGAATAACTTTGTTTTTTTCTTTTGTTTTGTCAGGAATTTGACAACAATATAATCAATCTCTTTGATCTATTTTGAGAATGATGGGATAACGATACGCTTCCATTTCCTATCGGAAGCTTCTTTCAGTTTGTTGCCAGAACCTATGCAAAAACTCTTCCATCTCTCTGTGAATTGTGAGCGATACTGTGTTAAAAAATCAGAAAAACAAAATTGTTAGAAGAATAAAGAAATCTAGAAAAACCAATAAAGAATCAGAATTATTCCGAGTCCATAATTTTCTTGTGTGTCCTTAAGGAATTTTAACCCCCTCAACATTGCCAAGGTAATGGATTAAATCCTCCCAGAATAAAGCGGAATAAACCTTCCTGCAACAGTGGCAATACAAACTGCAGGATACCAACGAACTCAAAGAACGGAGCAAAATCACACTTACGAATTTGAGAGAGAGAGACTGTGAATTAGGATGCAGTGTATTCAGAAAGAAAGAAGTTCTAGAGTGTTTTTCGTTTGTAGAAGATGCAGCCTTGCCTCAGAATTTATAGGCAAATATCAGAAGATGTGTCTGGAAAGGTGCCTTTTCAGAAAATACGCGGCCTACCGTGGTTCCACCACGACCGCGGCAGAACCGCGGTCAGAGAGGCTCTCTGAATAAACCTGTCGCGGTTCCACCGCGATCGCGGCAGAATCGCGGTCAGAGAGGCTCTCTGAATCTTCAGCAAGATTCTGGCGTATTTTCCGCAGTGACTTGGCATTTAATTTAATTATTAAATAATTAAATAAATTTTTTCCAAAAAAATAATCTCATAGATCGATCATTTGACAAATTCAAATCCAAAGCCGAAGCCGAGCCGAGCGACGACGACGACGGCGCGAGGGTTCATTCTCTTCAACTCCTTTTAAGAGCTTTAAGAAGTGATTCTATATATAAGCACACAAATGTGGTTGTCCCTCACCAATGAGGGACAAAGTGCAAGACAAAAGTTCACTTTTTGATTTTGCAAGTAAGGATTAATTGCATCTGGATAAGTAGGTTTCCCTTTGAACTTTCCGTAGTGAACATATGTCGGATATACTCGGTCAATCGGTAGATTTGATATCTTTGAACCGTCGAACTTTAGTGTATTCCTAGAAAACCATATGTCACACAACCAACCCTTAACCGTCTTTTGGTTCTCATTGTTGTGTTCGTTTTAACCATGAACACCGCCTGGTCTCATAAGTCCCTAGAGAATTGGCCTTACAGAATTCTCCTTGAAGCGGCTTACACTTCACACTTACGTAGGTGATTCCTAAACGTGTAATCCTTTAGATTGACACTATTTGATAGATACCTCATCAAACATTGGTAATCATTAAAGAACGTGTAAAGTTCTATCCTTGTTACTGAACATTGTCTTCATCACGAGAATGGACCAAAGTTTTTATTTTGACAATGTTGAACCGGTCAATCATAACTTTGCTTGCGCTCCTTGAACCTAGATCTCGGAACAACAAAAATTCTAGGTAGTGTTACCACCATGTTGACTTGTCCTCGACCATAGTCCCATTCCCTTAGATGATTTCTCAACTCCCTCTCTAGTTAAGCCTTTTGTAAG